ATTTAAAAAGAAAACATATCTTCACAATAGGAGAGCGCTGACGCTGACACGGGACAAGTGTAATCTAGAAATTTTTGAAGGAGATAAAGAAGTATGACAATCAAGAAGGCCATAAGTGCGCCCTACAATTGTAGGGACGACTGACGATACGGGCCTTAAAGTCTTTCATTTTCGTTCTCTTACTATTTTGTAATACCAAACCGTAGAGCTTAGAACGCTGAAGGCACTTCAAAGTACCGAATAGACGAACTTATATTTGAGATATATCTTGGCAACATCGTCAGTAACGTCATGTATTAGCAAATGTTATGACAGCTTGTAGGTTAGAAAGTGTAGTGCGATTTGAGTCGATCTAAAATTAAGTAATTTTGACTTATAAAGTTCGATATTCGTATTAACTTGAAGGTAAGCACTTTACTTACGAAATCCAATATATAAATATTATTTTCTAATTATTTTGAAATATATATACGTCATTATTTATTTGGTACCTACAAGTACCGTTGGTACTAGGTTATGTTTATGTAGCAGTCCTCAGGATTTCATTTTTGCAGAATGTCATCAAATTGGGAAAGAAAGCGTCCACTAACTGATGCTGAGCTATTGGAATTAGTGGAAAATGATGACTTAGGGCCAATTTCACCAACATTAATATTATGGCCCAATGGGAAAATACCTTATCGAAATGCAATTTGACGAAAGCTGCCAAAGGTCTCTGAATATTAGTGATTTCTATTGAAATATTGAATAAAATCGTGAAAATTCGACTGTATTATAATCAAGACCACTTTTTGATTCCAACATGATGCTTTTGTACAGAAAAAACAGGACAACTTTGATGTATTTTGATATATGTTATAGGTTTACATTTAACAATCCGTTATCCCCCTCAGCGAATGGGAATGCGGCAAATCATAGGTCGATTTTCTACCTGTTAAATGTAGCAGCAGATTTGGACGTTTGTTAATGCATGGCACTCTTGAATTTACCAACTTCAATATACTGAAAGTTATCATTACATACCTGTTGTCTGTATTTTGCAAGAAAATAGAATATAAAATACATTCCATCCAATTCCTCATCTTCCTCTATGTCATAATAGTAATCATTTATTAATTTATGGGATAATGAATTTCTTCAAAGCAATAAAAACATTATGTCCTCTCCATCCTAAAACACAGATAACATGTGTAAGACGTGTCAATCCCTACATCTCCCTGATGCATAATGCAATTACTATGGACATAGACAAAAAATTATGAAAAATGTTTCACAGATAATGGCTGTTAAGTTCAAACATCAAAAAAACTAGTTATGTGTACTGCTTGTCTATTTTTTTTTTTTTTGACTGGCGAGGATATCTATCTGACACTCGCAGGGTTGCCAAGTCTAACGACGATCACGTCCCGTGGTGGAGGGTGCGAAATGAATCTTTTACATTTGCTGGTTTTGAATTTTTTCGTGAAAGTTTACTAGGTATCGTGATTATAAGCAGCTTTGGTAGATTGTTCGATCCGGAATGGGAAAGATCTCCTATTTAGGGAAATATTTTTGGTATCATCTAACTGTTGCAATCAGTGCACAAACACTGTGACATATGATTTATAGCATAACCCGCTGCCCTATCAATACAAATTTAACATACAGGTCGCCTAGCCGTGGGGATGAAGCGGTCGGGAGGAATATCACGGCAGCAACTGATGATTTGGGCATGTCTGGTAAGAACGTATGAAGTGAAACTCGCTAACTTCACAAATTTAAAGATTTGGTACAATTTCTTTGAAAATGATGAAAGATACGTCTGATTTGGCAGGGTAATGTCGCAGCCAAATGGCAGTCACTCTTTCTGACACAGTCCGGATCGAAAGATGACGATACTCGTGAAATGTATTGATACTTCTAAATATAGGATCCTATCGAACATCCCTACTGTCAAGATGTATAACCCAAGGTACCGTCGGAGCTATTTTGCGGCGTCATGGAAATAATTTTAAATTTTCATTTGCATTTTTTCGAGTGTTGTGCAATGATTTTGGGAAAAATGTCACGAATAGTCTTATAAAGCATAGTAGAGTATATTTCAACAGTTGGCGGAATTTACTCCACTGGGACCAGGATTGTGAAACGGGATATTAATGCTCAATCTGGCAACCCTATCGCACCCTCACAAAATGGCCGCTGACAACCACACAAGTCACCGTGTTGTGATTGAATAGCATGGAATTAAACCTTCAAAGTATGCTTTGTGACTGGTACTAAGAGTTGACAGAGCCCACACATGTGTCACTCCTTGAAATGCAATAATCAGCTGTATTCAAATAACGTCTCATATGAATATAACCCAGAATATCTACTCAGTGAAAAAAGAAAAATATTGCAAATTTCTAGTTTATCTGCAGGTTCTGGGTTTGCTGGTAGCTCTACGACATATATTTGGGTATTTCTTAATTGCTAATACTTATAGTGTGGATGTTTGTTAAGTTCCTGAACAACGAAAAATATTCAACTTTATGGATGTATGGATATTAAAAAACCAGAATGGTTTTGTGGGAATATCAATCTAAGGTGCCATAATGGTTCTGATTAACGGCAAGTAAATGAATGAATGTTTGGAAATGAGCAATATCTATGAACTTTTTGGTCGGTGCTTAATTTCTATCTTCAACAGGTTTATTGTGAAAAAAACACCCAATAGATGATCTTGAATCAGTAAAATCGCATATCAATTGAAGAAAATAATATTATCATGAATAAAAAATCAACAATGGTAATTAAAACATGAATTTTATTCAAAAATCAAACATTTGTTTAAATTTTGACTGAATTATATGTAATTTCTTAATATTCAATAAGCTGGTGATGTTTCAGTGACAAGATATCATCTCATACTTTCACAATATTTTGTTTTCAATATTTCATAGCTATTGGATGCTAAAATTTGTTGGAACTTGAAGCTCATTCGCTGTATTTGACGGACTGTTACCCTATAGGTGGAGAATAAGGGACTGTTGTTGGTGAAATTGGCCCTTAGACGATTTTCTACCATTAGATAATAGTATAGAGACAGATATTGAACCTGCTTTTGATGAGGAAGAAGTTCAAGATAATCTGCAGCTGGAGGCTGAAGAGCAAGAAATTCAACCACAACAATTTGAAGAGTGTATTGAACAAGAAAATGAACCTGAGCATATTTGGAAGAAAATAGAAAAAAGTGCCATTCCATTGCCTGAATTCAATTATGCTTCCTGGGAGGAAGTTTATTTTTGTGAATGTTCAACTGCCACTGACGTGTTTGCAAAGCTGTTAGGTAAAACACTACATATTATTACTTTTCAAACAAATTTATACGCCACACAAAAAGGTTAAACTTTAAACATTAGTGAAGAAGAAATTCTGGCATTTATCGGAATAAACTTTCTTATGGGTTATCACGTTGTGCCAAATATTGAAAGTTATTGGTCCACTGCAGATGATTTGAAAGTACAAGTAGTACCTGAAACGATGTCAAGAAATAGGTTTCAAACTATACTATCACATTTGCATCTCAATGATAATAGCCTTATTCCAAGTAATAATACAGACAAATGATATTAAGTCAGGCCATTTATTCACTTCTTGAATTCGACGTTCCTGAATTACGTGGGAGAACAAAAGATGTGTGTGGACGAATCTATTGTAAAATTCAAGGGCCGCTCTTCAGTAAAGCAGTACAATCCTATGAAGCCCATAAAAAGAGGCTACAAGTTTTGGATTTTGAGTGACATGTCCGGGTTTGTAAAGAAATTTGAAATTTATCAGGGAAAGACTGAACAGATTACTAAAAAATTTGCAAATTACAGTTTGAGAGAGAGAATTGTTCTACAATTGACTGAGCAAGAATGGCACTAAAATAAGATCATTTATTTTGATAATTATTTTACCAGTATTAGGTTGCTTGAGAAGTTAAAACTTGAAGGAACATTGGCATGTGGTACCATCAGAAGCAACAGAAAGGGGTTACCTATAGGAATGACGAATGATAAAAGTTTAAAGCGAGGTGAATTTGATCGTAAAACTTCAAATACTGGCATTACTTTCTACAAACGGAAAGATAATAAACTAGTTACATTTGCTTCTACTTTTCATGGCACTGAAACTACTCAAATAAAGAGAAAGCTAAGAGATGGCACGACTTGCTGGATCGCTGGACCTCAAATTGTTGAAGACTATAACAAATTTATGGGAGGTGTAGATTACCATGATCAACTACGCCACTGTTATGGTATTGATAGGCGCAACAAGAAATGGTGGCACTGTATATTTTGGGGGTGCCTTGAAATAAATTTTGTGAACGCATACGTCTTATACAAAAAAACAAGAAATGAACCAAAAATGACACTTTTATCATTTAGAAGAGAAGTGACTCTTGGGTTATGTAGCAAATCTCCAATATTCGCTGAAAGGAAGTGAAAATCTACCAACTCAGGACCAGAAAAAGGCGCTACACCTACAGTGTATCATCAGAAATACGATTAGGAAACAGAGGAAACCACTAGAGTAAATTCGTTGAAAGACGTGGACGGTGTAAAATGTGTACTGCTCAAGGAATTCAATCTAAACTACACTCAACATGTTCTACATGTGGTGTTTTCCTCTGTGTAAATGAAAAAAGAACTGTTTTTCACTGTACCATGTATCATAATCTAATCTATGAATCTGATCTAGTGTATTATCTAATGAATAAAAAATTAATTATTTTATTTTTTTTTCTTATAAAAAAAAAGTGAAGTAAAAACCCTAAAGCTGCACAACTTGTTTATAGGCCAAAGAAAAGCCACTATTAACTCCACTGCAAAAGAAAACTCGGCTTCGATGGGCTGAAGAACATAGACAATGGACACCTCAATAATGGTGTGCAATACAATGGAGTGATGAGGCCTGATTCGAAGTTTGTGTTGGTGACAGTCGCAGTAGAGTTATTCGCAAAAAAATGAAGCATTCCATGTTGACTGTCTGAAGAGAAATGTGAAATTTCCAGCATCCATCATTTTAGAAGAATTGCTTTTACCAGTGATGGAAGAATGTTTGACATCCGGCCAAGATTTCGTGTTTCAGCAAGATGGTGCAGCGTGCCATACCTCAAAAAAGGCTATAAAATGGATGGAAGAAAATAATGTACCACTTTTGAAATGGGTTTCTAGCAGCCAGATCTGTCACCTATTGAAACTTTGTGGCACGAGACGAAAAAGGTTCTACGACAACATCCTGCTCGTACAATCACTGAACTGAGACAAAAACTTCAAGAAATATGGGATTGTTTTACATCAAATTTTTGCCAAAACTTGGTTAACACTATGCCCCAAAGAATTTCAGTCGTAATAAAAAATAAAGGTGATGTTACCCAATGGTAATCTTTCAATTGTTGCTTTGTTAACTTCGCGCATTTATTCGCACATTGTTTATTTGTTCAGATGTTCTAATAGTTATAGGTCTAAGTGATTTCAAATATGTATTTTATACGACTAGAGTGTATCTAAAATGTTTTTGAGAAAATAAATTGTTTTAGAAGTAAATAGTTTCGTCATTAGTTTATAAAGGCATATTTTGGTACAAATCTTGAAGTGGGCCAACTGAAGTGGGAAGGGGCTCGTACATGTTAAAGCGAAAACTTCAAAATAAATAAATGTGAACAGTAAAGTAAGTAAACTGACTTTTGTTTCCAAAGGCAACTTAATATTGTTTTGTGTTTGTTAAAATTAAGGCCAATGAATTTTGTGCCTAAAACATTTTGGAGATACGTTATTAAGCGACAGCTGATTTAGAATATATGGACGATCGTATTGGTTGTGAATAACCTTGCCTCAGAATATTAACCAAAGCATTTTTGTATGCGCATATTTTTAAATTTCATCGCTTTTATCTTTCTTGATCAGCTTAGGGCACAGTTTCAATTGCTTTGAGTCTAGGATTTCTGTACCTGTAGTTTTGAGAGGTACTTATATCGTGTTGTTGTGTCAATCGTTGCAAAATGAGCAGTGAGTTCGTATTGTTGACTCGTTTATCTGTTTATGTGCGACAAGGTACGAATATTTTTGAAGACGAGCATGATGTACTAGAAAGTCAGTTTATTGCTTACAGTTGTATAAATAATACTGTGTAAATATTACATAAAGTAGAAAGCATTCACAAAGTTATAGACATACTAACATTTTTACACAGACATTAAAGTAGATACCATAAGCTTACAAACTAGTTAGGCTCTTAGTGGCATCTACGTGTATACTAAATAAATATTCATCGGCCCAATCAGTGTTGAGGTAAAGCTGATACCATGGCTTATTCTCCACAGGATGTCGGAGATGCACAGGATAGTAGTTGAGTGTATTCTGTGGCATGTGTTTATAATAGATCGTATTTTCTTGGACACGTTGTTAGATAGATAGATAGACATTTATTTCCAACAGGTACATGTGCACCCAATAACAGGAAATGCGTAAAATCAAATGAACATTTCGTTTTATGTAAAAGAAAAAACATAACTGATGTTATATAAAAATAAACATTTGAATAATATAAAAAAAATGATACGAACTTTGATACTAGTTACACGAAACGTTATCTTCCGACTGGTTTCTCGGTATCGTTTCTGGCATGCACCTGCCTCACCAAATGGTGTTTGAGTCTCACCGTTTGGATTCCTGATTTGGTTTGACTAGGAGTGGATGAAGGGAATGTCCGAGTATGAGATGACGCTCTTAGTTCCTTTTCGTTTTTGAACTTCATCCTCCGGTCTTGGAACCAGACTTTGACTTGGCTTTCTGTCAGACTTAATTCTTCTGCCATTTCGATGCGTCGGCGTCGGCACAAATACTTATCCATGCAGAATTGCTTCTCCAGTCATACAAGCTGGTGTGTTGGTATAAGCTATTCGGGCTCGCTTCGGCTTGGGGGTTCCGCTTAAATTAGGCCATACACTGCTCGGACCTGGTGTTGTACTATTTTCTGTATCTGGAACGAAATAAAAGGTCTTTTGGTTTGGCTATCCATCAGTGATTTTCAGTTTTTTGTCCGAGAAAATATTGAAGGAAACAGACTTTATTGGCAAATAATTGTTCAATGTACATCATTCAAAAATGTCCTCAGTTTACCTATTTGGAACAATACGCTCTTTAGTGCTTTGGGATAACATGAAAATTCTAACTACTTGCCGCCAGTTTGTTCAAGTAATGAGATTACGCAAGCAATTCACTGAAATTTCTGTTCTCGCGTTCTGGTTGCTACGTTTTGAAAACTCAGTCGCAGAGAAATTTTCTTAGAGACGACTAATAAAAAGTGAAAATTCTATTCACGAAAATTTATAATATGCATCTAAGTTATGGGTAAATCCAGCCACTTGATAGCAACGTGTATTTTCATTTTTAACTTTTAAATTTCTTATGAAGATGTACATTTTTGTGCCTCTTGACTTTGTTGACTATGTTGCGTGGGTTACTAATAATAGTATTTAAAATAAAAGTTGATATTGGTCAGCAGTATAGTGCTGACTCACCTGTCGATCTTTTACTCTGGCTGTCAGTGCATTCATAGGAAATGCGGACACTCAGGAACGGCTTCTCCTCGAAAGCAACTTGGGGCCCTTCTGACGACAATGCAAAATGTGGTTGCTGGCCGATTGGCCATTGTAGATCCAGATACTGGAACAAATATTGTTATTATAAAGTACGTCTATATTTTAGTCTTGAAGCGTGTACAAAACGATTGTATAGTTGGTGTCAAAAGTATCCTACAGAAAATGATGGTTCCAAAAAGTATAAAAACGAAACATCTGCATGTGAAAAACTTGTTGTAAAGGATGTTCATAAAACTGGTGTATTTTTTTTCATTTTCTTGAGTATACCAGTGGAAGCAAGCACTGGCTTGACCACTGTATTCTTATCTATTCAGAATTTGAAAGTCTGCTAAGAAATTATTTTTTTAATACCTGTTGTAATTTGCAAAATCCTTTTGACGTATACAGGGTGTCCCGAAAAAAGTGTGCAATATTCTACCAGCGGTTTCTAGAGTTTAAAATAGGAAGAAAAGTTTATATAAACATAGGTCGACAAACGTCCCCTAAGGGCGCTACGGTTTTTTAAAGGGGCTCCCCTCAAGAAGGTTTTCCCTTAATATTTCCGAAACGTGTTGAGACAAAGACGTAAAATTTGGTATTCTAGCCTAGTTTTTTATGCTGGATTTAAATTAACGATTTTAGACAGTTTTGTTTGGAAGCGTATGTAACAGGGACGGACTCAGGTAATATTAGCTCCAAAATTTTTGTGTGATTCTATTTTTGAAATTCAATTATAGAATTTGAAAATTTACGGTCTTCTACATAAAAAAGATACTCTTATTGAATATCGATAAATTATGACATTTTTGATTAAAATCAAACTAAAAAATTTTTCACATGATAGAAAATATACTACGAATTTAAATGAATTGCTGATTATACATAGTTAGCCATGACTGCAAACAAAAGTTGTTTTGATTTGTAATGACTTATTTTGACGTTAAGCTGACATTGTTAGCAGTGTAAAATTAATAGATTAAAATCAACAAATCGATTTAAAATGCCAAGATTTACAGACAGAGAACTGACTGACATGCATTTTGTGTACGGGTTTTCAGCGCATGCAGTGCTCAGGAAGGCAACTGGGAAATCATCGTCTGTATATTGCTTTAAATATGTTTGAAAATAATCCGCAAATAAGCATACGAAATGTTTCAGAAATTATGGATATACCTCGATCAATAGTAAGAAAAATTTATGAATATCTATTTGATAGTTATCCTAAAAATAATAATTTTAGATAGGAAGAATGACAAGAACGCAAGGATTACATCCTTATCATTTTGAACGTGTGCAGCATTTAACGGGGGCAGATTTTTTACCACGAATCGAGTTTTGTCAGTGGATATTAGCAAATGAAAACACTATTCCTAGAATATTATGGTCGGATGAGTCAATATTTACTAGGAATGGTGGTTTTAATTTCCATAACATGCATCACTGGTCAGATGGAAATCCAAAAGTTGTTGGCCGCACAAATTTCCAACATAGATTTTCATTGAACTTATGGGCAGGAGTAATTGGGGATCAAGTAATTGGGCGTATTGTACTTCCCAATCGTCTTAATTCAGAGGTGTATCTGAACTTTCTTCAGAATGAGCTCATGGATATAATACCATTGGATGTGCGCCAGCAGTTTCAAGAAAATATGTTTTTTCAACATGATGGCGCCAATGCACATTTTGGACGCAATGAATTGGTTGAATGTCAATTTTCCAGACAGGTGGTTAGGCCGGGGAGGTCCTATAGCGTGGCCGCCACGCCACGTTCACCTGACCTAAATCCATTGGATTTATATTTTTGGGGTTAATTAAAAGACCAAGTTTACTCGACTGAAGTAAATACTCAAGAAGATTTACTTCAAAGAATCCATCAGGCTGCAAATGAAATAAGAAGAAAAAGGTTTTCCACTTTTCGGGCTACGCAATCATTAGTTCGTCGAGCGAGACTCTGTATCCAACAAAATGGGAATTTAATTGAACACTTATTGTAAAGCTAGTATATTCAACTGTATCGCTTCTTTTTTTAAAAAAAATCAATTTCGTTCGTAGAAAAAAAATGGCTTTTGTTTTTGCCTAAATATTAGCTATGCTGCAATAGAAATATATATTTATGTAATATTTAGAAATTATTAAATTATTTTTTTCACTGCCATTATTCAACAATTCATTTAAATTCGCAGTATATTTCCTATCATGTGACAAATTTTTTAGTTTGATTTTATTCAAAAATGGTACAATTTATCGATATTCAATAAGAGTACCTTTTTTATGTAGAAAATCCTAAATTTTCAAATTCTAAAATCGAACTTCAAAAATAGAATCACGCAAAAATTTTGGGGCTAAAATAACTTGAGTCCGTCCTAGTTACATACGCTTCCAAACAAAACTGTCTAAAATTGTTAATATTTTTAAATAAAGCATAAGACACTAGGCTGGAATACCAAACTTTATGTCTTTATCTCAACACGTTTCGGAAATATTAAGAAAAAACCATCTTCAGAGGAGCCCCTTTAAAAGACCGTAGCGCCCTTAGGGGACGTTTTTCGACCTATGTTTATATAAACTTTTCTTCCTATTTTAAGCTCTAGAAACCGCTGGTAGATTATTGCACACTTTTTTCGGGACACCCTGTATATCGGCAAGTAAAATTTAATCCACCAACAGCTCAAATAGCCTTCTTTCACGTAATGTGTGAAAGTTAAAAAGAGTCATAATCTTTGAAGTAAACTACCACTATCGAAATAAGACCGCACAAAGTGGTCGATTCGGTAGTTAAAATGCTTATTTTGCTTCTCTTTCTAACAGTGGTAACAGGGTTTGAATATGACTCTGATTTTGGGTATGAATAAAACCAGAATAAATTTTCCATCTTCCCACGACAAAGTGTTTTCATAAAGGTTTCCTCCAGTTGTAAAGCTGAAGTTCTCACCCACGTCCTCTGCAGCAGTATACGAGTACGTTGGTGGCGTCTCGGTTAAAACAGGCTCGGTCTGCAGCATGTCGGCGTAAATTCCCGCACTCTCAAGGTTCTCACTGTAGTCGGACATTAGGCCAGTTGAAGACATACTGAACTGCAATGAGCTTTACTAATGGCTGGTATTTATTGAAAAGTTTGACCACTCCTCCCTCGTTATGGGTACCTAGAGTGGCCAATTGCATGGTTGGTCTGAACACCCATTCCTTATTTTGCCAAGGTAAACACTTATCCCCAAGAAAGCAAACTTTGATAATCTCCATAGGCTAGAGCACGATGAGGGGGGTTTTGGCACCGTACTGGTGTAATGCATGACATAATTGGTAAAAAAGCGATAAGTTGTGGCATGCTAGTATTTTTCAGCTGGTATATCGCTTGCTATCACAAAGTTCTTAACATTGATTTTAAATTGTTCTCTGTCTTTTATTGTCGATGTAACGGTGAACGTACCGTAATTTCATATGCTTTGTTGTAGTACTTTTAGAACAAGTTATACTTTATTGTGTACCTACACAGATTGCGTCAAAATTCAATGGGCATACAGTACAGGGTGGCGCAAATGAACGTTATAGCTTAATAAATAAAAATAGGAACATACATTTCCCAAAGCAAGATTTTATTTAGCTGTTACAACGAACAAAAAATTTCGATTGTGAATACTTTAAAACCTATAAACAATAGTGAAGCTTATTCGTGTCAAATTTTCAAACAAAAGCATACTACGTTTTAACATCAACCTGAAATGGAAGAACTTCACCATTGCTTAAAGGTTAAGAGAAGTATAAGATCGCAACTTTACATACGGAAAAAAATATTGCTGAATTTTTAGGTTAGAAGGAGGCAAGCCTATGCCTACATTACATTGTTTCTCGCCAAATTGGTCTACTTTTAGTTTATACTTTTGACTCATTTGCCTATTAATGCCCACTAAAGTGACAGCGTTGTGACTAAATAGTAATGATACCTGTGTAATCATCCATCTTCGTTATATATTTTTGCGAATTATATAAGAAGTACTATGTCTTGAAATCGTGTAACACCACAACTACCTTAAAACAATTTTTAAAAATCATATCAAATATATTATATGTATTTAATGACAGAACTGTCAGAATATTGATTTATGTCATTTGCACATTGATCCTCACAACAGACTGCGAATTATGAGTCGAACTAATCCTTAACTGACTCCTGCTACCTAGTCTGAATTCGTTACCGGGGGTAATCTAGTAGTAGCAAGCTTATAGAATTTCAATATTAACTTTATCTTTCTGTAACTCAACTTCGCCAGTTTTGGTTGTTCAATTCGTTGATTTTGTTTCAACTGTGGTTCATTAAGGCTCCATGTAATCCCCGCTGCAGTTTTTCCGAGATCGAATTTTCCACCCCCCAACTCTCGGTGTTTCACATTCCCGATCTGCAAACTTCTAGCGTCGTTCCAGACTGGAACACCTCTAGTATCTGGTCTTAACAGATCGTTTGGATCCCCCAATTCCTTGTTCCTTGAGGATCAACTTCAACTTTATGCCGGAGGTGATCCCGCAGCCCCGTCATGACAGATGATCCTTGAGTCATTCTCTCGTTGTTGAAAATGATTGAACTCCCTATCTCAACTCCCGCGACCGAGGAGTTTATGCATCCTCAGACATTGCAACTTCCGGGCGGGTACAACAGTTTGCACCTTTTTCTTCCAATTGTCATTACCCTTCATAACCTATACCTTTTCATTAAGGTTCCAACGCCATGCATCGATATGGAAATTCAGTCCACCAACTCCATTAAACCAGCAGATCGTCCATCGCATGAGACTACACGTGGTGCGAAGCAAAGGTCAACCACTGAGCGCAATGCTCAGCTTCGGCAGATGAAGGTTAAGGTAAATTACTTGGCCCGATGGCCCCTAGTTGCATTTAGAGTGTTCGTCATTCCCTACCATATTGCCCTGAAAGACACCAGGCCAACTGACCAAACACTGTTTTTGCAGACGGCAGTTCACTACCATCAAAGACACCTCAGCCCCCCAAACACTCACAGGCCGTCCCAGACATGATGAATTGACGTAAATGCAGGTCGGTGTTATGACATGGAATGACATAACGCTGGACACAC